GGGTGTGTGGGATTGTTTGCGGGAGGTTGAGCGGAGGCTGCCGTCTTGTCGTCCGCAGCACCTTTAGTCTGGGGCGCTGTCCCGGTAGCCCAGTGAGCTCGTCGCTGCGCCAGTCGCCTGTGGGTCCGTAGCTCCAGCCGCTCGTCTTAGCCGCGGAGCCAGTTACTCCTGTAGTCCGGGGCGCTGTCCCGGTAGCCACTGTGCTCGCCACTCCTGTTGCCCGTGTGTCTGCAGCTTCAGCCGCCGCCTCCTATCTCCTCTCCTCTCACTGTCCCTCCTCCTCACTTGCCCGCTATGTTAGCCTCTAGCTTTACTTATATTTCTGAACTACTTCTATGCTTGCTTGCTGTGCTGATTACACCCCACTTTGGCTAGGGGGGTGTGTCAGAATGTTATTGTTCTCTAGCCTGCAGTGGGGTACTCTATAGCGAGTACAACCCCTTAGGGTTTCCTATATGTATCCTGCTGCTTTCTAGTGAACCCCCTCCTTTTTCTTCTAAACTTTCTTGCCTAGCTAGGGTTCTCCTAGCTATGGCGCCTCATTCCTGGCCTCTATCTCAACAGTGTCTACCAGAGATTGATGCGCGATTGGTGGACGGAACACCGCTGGCGATCAAGGACGAGGTCCGACAAATTCGGATGAAGTGTGGCGACGATTTCGGGTTCTCCATGCGAATGCTGGCGACAACGCTGGACGGTTGCGATGTGCTGCTCGGAAGGGATTGGCTGCAGCGTTTTAATCCGACCATCGACTGGACGACGGGAGCGATCACGGTGCTGTGCAACAAGGGGCGCGTGACACTTCCGAAATGGGCGGAGCCGGAGCCGACGACAACACGTGTCAACGCGATAACGTTGAAGAGGGCGATAAAACGGGGAGCGCAAGGCTACGCCGTACAGCTGTACGAGGTGGTGGCTTCCGAAAAAATCGCCGACATCGACACGCTCTGCGCTGCTGTACCCAACGACGTGGCGAGCATAATTCGGAGGTACCCCGAAATATTCGCGGATGACCTACCTGATGGGCTGCCACCTCAGCGTCCGGAAGACCACAGGATCGAGCTGGAGCCAGGCGCGAAACCAACCGTTCGGTCCCAATGGCGGCTCAGCCAACCGGAGCTCGACGAATTGCAGAAACAGCTGGATTATCTGCTTTCTAAGGGTTTTATCCGGCCGAGCACGTCGCCGTACGCCGCCCCGATACTATTCACACCGAAGAAGGACGGAGGCCTGCGCATGTGCATCGACTATCGAGCGTTGAATCGGGTCACAATCAAGTCGCGTTACCCGATCCCACGAACAGACGACCTGCTGGATCAACTTCGCGGGGCTCGTTTTTTCTCGAAAATCGATCTGCGATGTGGCTACCATCAAATTCGTGTGTTCGCCGACGACTGCCCGAAGACCACATTCCGCACCCGCTACGGCAGTTATGAGTACACCGTGATGCCGTTCGGGCTGACGAACGCACCCTCGACTTTCCAACTCACTATGAATGGGGTGTTTCGCGACATGTTGGATAAAAAAGTTATTGTTTACCTGGACGACATCCTGGTGTACAGCAGGACACGCGAGCAGCATTTACAGGACTTGGACGAAGTGTTCCGTCGCTTGCAGCAGAACCGGCTGATTACAAGGGGCTCTAAGTGCGAGTTCTTACGGTCGGAGCTGGAGTTTCTGGGGCACGTCGTCTCTGGGGAAGGCATTAAAATCGACCCTCGCAAAATAAAAGCGATTTCGGAGTGGAAGCCGCCCACGAACATCACTGAGTTGCAGAGTTTCCTCGGCTTCGTTAACTGTCAGAATTCCAGCCACTAACCACTGGGATAAAAGGGCTTGTTTGTGTAGCGGGTAAGTGCGCCCATAACCCCCCAGGCCAACGTGCCTGTAACCCTTCCCTAGGATCAATCGGGGATCACCAGTGGACCTCTGACACCCCCTCGCACTGGGATGCCCGAAGTGCACACGCTGGGATTCGAACCCGAGACCTTCGCTCTGATAACATGTCAGAATTCCAACCACTAGACCATTGGGATAAAAGGGCTTGTTTGTGTAGCGGGTAAGTGCGCCCATAACCCCCCAGGCCAACGTGCCTGTAACCCTTCCCTAGGATCAATCGGGGATCACCAGTGGACCTCTGACATTAACTACGTCCGCCGTTTTGTACCCAATATGGCGGGGGTAACCAGGCCGTTAACCGATCTCCTGCATAAGGGCGTGCAGTTTCTTTGGGGGGAGAGAGAACAGCTGGCTTTCAACGAGCTGAAGAAAATTTTGAGTTCACCCCCGGTGCTTCGACTGGCAGATCCATCTCGACCGTTCGAAGTCGTGACGGACGCCAGCGATTTCGCTGTCGGCGCTGTGCTATTACAGGACTTCGGCAACGGACTGCAACCCATCGCGTACGAGTCAAGAAAAATGCAGCCGCCCGAGCGCAACTACCCGGTTCACGACAAGGAAATGCTCGCCATCGTGCATGCGTTTCGAACATGGCGATGCTACCTCACGGGAGCGGATGTCACAATCCGAACTGACCACAAGTCATTACAGTACATGCGCAGCCAACCACAGCTCAACCCACGACAAATCCGGTGGCTCGACTACCTCGAATCAAATTTCCGCTACACCATCACATATAAAAAGGGCGCCAACAACATCGCCGACGCCCTGACCCGCCCATCCATGCAGACCGCAGCAGTACTAATCGCCCATTCCAACCCTTTATTGACGGGATTATTCAAGCACGGCTACAGGATCGACAGATTTTTCAGGACCAGTCAACACCGCGGGGTCACTACACCGCATGGAAGTTACTACCTAAAAGTCGGTACTAACCGAGTTTGGGTGCCTTCCTACCGACCCTTACGCGAATTACTGACGCAAGAAGTACACGACTCCAACCTCTCCGGGCATTTCGGCGTCGACAAAACATTGAAGCTGCTGCAGCGGAACTACTACTGGCCCGACATGGCGTCGGACGTGCAGCGCTATGTGTCCGCCTGCCCGACCTGCCAGGCAATGAAGTCGTCACGACAACGACCAGCTGGCTTACTGCAGCCCCTCGAGCCACCCGAACGACCGTGGCAACAGGTGACTATGGACTTCGTCACGGGCCTTCCAGCTGGCGCAAGTGGCAACGACTCCGTGCTCGTCGTCGTTGATCGCTTAACGAAAATGGCGCATTTCGCGCCCTGCCGTACAACGATCACAGCCGAAGAAACAGCGCGACTCTTCATCTCGACCGTCGTACGCCTCCACGGGTTACCTTCGGCGATCATCAGCGATCGAGATCCGAAATTCACGTCGAAATTTTGGCAGGAGACATGGGCATAGTACGGCACCCGCCTGCAATTTTCGTCGTCCTACCACCCGCAAACCGACGGACAGACAGAGAGGACAAACCAAACGATGGAGCAGCTGATTCGCACGAACTGCCCGGATATCACCAAGTGGGAAGATTCCCTTCCCATGCTCGAGTTTGCGTACAATAACGCTCCATCTGCAACGACCAAGCAATCACCCTTCTACCTGAATTACGGGATAGACCCGGTGGTACCCTCCTCGACAACTCCCGACAACCCGGTACCCAGGTCACAGCAGTTTATTTCGGAACTCCAGGACGCGCGTGCCAAGGCAGCTGATTTTATCCGAAAAGCGAATGCGACCGCCAGCCGCTACGCTGACCAACATCGACGAAATTTACCCTTCCGCGAGGGGCAGATGGTTCTCCTGGACACCAAAAACCTCAGACTGCCCCAGCCCGCAAAACTGCGTCCTCGATACGTGGGACCTTTCCGCATCATTCGAATGCTGACACCGGTCACTGCGAAGCTTCTCCTCCCGGACGACTGGCATATCCACGACGCTTTCCACGTCAGTTTACTTCGCCACTACGTGGCACCCCAGTCCTCCGACGTCGCTCGACCCCACCAGGCGCCCAGTGTCCGACCGGTAGCAGATCCCACGCTCCAACCCTGGAAGATATTGAACCATCGCATTCGTGCGACCCCAGCCGGCTGCCACGTCGATTTTCTACTACGTTGGGTGGATCGCACAAGTGACGACGACACGTGGGTCCCGGCTGACTCACTACAAGGGCACTCGGTACTCCGGCAGTATCTTTCTCGCCGACACGTGCCTGATATTGACCACCTTTCTTGAAGGGGGGGTAGTGTAAGGAATTTTGCTAATTCCTTACTGAGGCACCGCTTACGCGTACATTTCCAATTTTGGAGTTCAGGCTCGGTCCGACGACCTCGCCTCTCGAACGTCCTCCGCGTCGCCTTCGGGTTTTCCAAACCCAAACCTACACCCAACCTCGCACGACTTCGCGACCTCGGGCTTAGCCAGCCTTGCTATATTATGCCTAGGCCCCGATGTTTGCTCAGTAGTTGTAATCACTTCCGCGATATTGCATTCTGCGCACTCTTCTTTCATACAACTCATAACACTCCGGTGGACTTGTAATGCGGCAGCTGGCTTGCAGAAATTGCTTGAAGAAGATAACTTTAAAGCCCGAGTTCCACATGGCATTTTTCAAATTCAAGATTCTTGAACATGAACTCGCCAAAAACCAGGTTACCACCCGAAGTGCAGCTTTCCGTCCCCTCACGGAGGGAGATGCTTCACAACTCTGATGCATGATTGGCCAGCGACAAAAAAAAAGTATTCCGCGTGAAGTGTCAACGGGAGTTGGACCACTGTCACATTCAGTAAACTTGAAAACCAAGTTGTACTTATGTGCAGCCATATTGAGTCTAGGACACGTAGGGCGCTCCGCTGTTCAGGACCACAAGAGCGCGTAGTATCGCTTTTAGACAATGGCAGCGAGATGTCTATATCCTTGCAGCAGTCTGTTGGTTTGTACCTCCAACAAAAATAATATCAGCCAGCCTAAAGAAAAACGTCATGCGTCACGCCCCAATTCTACAGGGACAATGGCGCTCGCAAGTACGTTCGAAGCGCACGGATCAAGTGCGCGGATCGGGCGCTAGCCTCACATGTACGTTCGATGCACCCGCTTCCGCCCGTCGCACTCCCTTCCGCACGCCTGCACTCTCTTCCGCTCGTCGCACTCTCTTACGCCCATCAAACTCTCTCCTGCCGTCACCCTACTGCCCGTCGCTCTCCCTAGCGCACGTCGCACTCACTTCCGCCGTCGCCCTCCCTTCCGCCCGTCACCTTCCCTTCCGCCCGTCGCACTCACTTCCGCCGTCGCCATCCCTTCCGCCCGTCGCCCTCCCTTCCGCCCGTCGCCCTCCCTTCCGCCCATCGCCCTCCCTTCCGCCGTCGCCATAGATTCCGCCCGTCGCCCGTCGCCATGCCTTCCGCCCGTCGCCCTCCCTTCCGCCGTCGCCATCCCTTCCGCCCGTCACCCTCCCTTCGTCTCGTCGCCCTCCCTTCCTCCCATTGCCCTCCCGACCACCCGCCGCCCTACCTTCCCCTCGTCGCGCTCCCTTCCGCCCGTTGCCCCCCTTTGTCTCGTCGCGCTCCCTGCTGCTCATCGCCCTCCCTCCCGCTCGTCCCCTCGCAATCCCTGTATATCTCTCCCCTCGTCGCCCTGGCATCTCCGTCACTATCGCCATCCCTCCCTTCTCCCTTCCCAACTCCCACACTTGTCACGCCCCCTTTCCAACCCGCACACATCCTTCCTTTCCCTTTCCCTGCTTCCCCCCATCCCCCTCCCTGCTTGCCCCCATCCCCTTCCCTGCTCCCCCATGTCCCCTTCCCTGCTTTCCCCCATCCCCCTCCCTGCTTCCCCCCATCCCCTTCCGTGCTTTTCCCCCTCCCGTTTCCATCGCTTTCCCCCTCCCATCGCCCTCGCTCTCCCCCTCCAGTCGACCTCGCTTTCCCCCTCCCGTCGACCTCGCTTTCCCCCTGCTCACTCTCTTTCCCTCTGCTCACTCTTTCCCCCTTCCTCATTCTCCCCCCCCTTCCTCACTCTGTTTCCCCCTGCTCACTCTCTCCTCCTCACTCAATTCCCCCCTGCTCTATTCCCCCTGCTCTGTTCCACCCTGCTCACTCTCTCCTCCTCACTCGTATCCCCCCTGTTCTGTTCCGCCCTGCTCTATTCCCCCCCGCTCTATTCCCCCCTGCTCTATTCCCCCCTGCTCTATTCCCCCCTGCTCTATTCCCCCCTGCTATAATCCCCCCTGCTCTATTCCCCCCTGCTCTATCCCCCCCTGCTCTATCCCCCCCTGCTCTATTCCCCCCTGCTCTATCTATTCCCCCCCTGCTATAATCCCCCCTGCTCTATTCCCCCCTGCTCTATCCCCCCCTGCTATCCCCCCCTGCTCTATCCCCCCCTGCTCTATCCCCCCCTGCTCTATCCCCCCCTGCTCTATTCCCCCCTGCTCTATTTCCCCCCTGCTATAATCCCCCCTGCTCTATTCCCCCCTGCTCTATCCCCCCCTGCTCTATCCCCCCCTGCTCTATCCCCCCCTGCTCTATCCCCCCCTGCTCTATCCCCCCCTGCTCTATCCCCCCTTGCGCTCTCTCTTCTCACCTCCTCACTCCGTTTCCCCCTTGCTCACTCAGGTTTCCCCTTGCTCATTCTCTTCCCCGCTGCTCATTCTGTTTCCCCTTGCTCATGCTGTTTCCCCTTGCTCATTCTGTTCCCCCTTGCTCATTCCGTTCCCCCTTGCTCATTCTGTTCCCCCTTGCTCATTCTGTTCCCCCTTGCTCATTCTGTTTCCCCTTGCTCATTCTGTTTCCCCTTGCTCATTCTGTTCCCCCTTGCTCATTCTGTTCCCCCTTGCTCATTCTGTTCCCCCTTGCTCATTCTGTTCCCCCTTGCTCATTCTGTTCCCCCCCTGTTCACTCCCTTCCCCCATGCCCACCCTCTTTCCCCCTGCTCACTCCCTTTCCCCCCTTCTCACTCTCTTCCCCCCTCCTCACTCTCTTTCCCCCTTGCTCAATGTCTCCCCTGCACTCTGTTTTTTCCTGCCCATTCTGTACAGGTCCCCAGCACCAGGTGTAGGGAGGGACCAACAAGTCCTGCTTTTTTGCTGCTGTGTATGCAGACAAGAGTGGGAAAAGGCATAATAACTTGGTCCTTTTTTACTAGATTGTTGCACTTCGTAGGTGGTCAATGGTCACTCTACTCTATGGATCAAAATTTAGTTATAATAATAAACATACTGTTGGGCTGAAAAGCCCCTTAGGATCTTTGGTAGGGTAAATCTCTGGGTAGAGTGATGTAGTAGCGGAAGCGTTTAAAGAGAAGATTCTGAACCACCTTGCACTGGTTTGTGAGAGCAAAGTAAGTTGATTAAGACAAACAAGTACAAAGGTTTATATAAGAGTACAAGGAATACGAAGAGATATGAATGACAACTGTTTTACTGTTGGCTGTTGTGGTTCGATACCGTCATCGCCCGGATATAAGACAGTGTCGAATTGAAGACATGGGGTGTCGTTAATGTTGGGCTGAGGTGCCCTAGGATCTTTGTAGAGTTAAAGTCTGAGTAGGATGATGTAATAGCGGAAGCGTTGAATGAAAAGTCTTTGAACCACCTTGCGCTAGTATGTGAGGGCAAAGTAAGTTGATTAAAAACAAGCAAATACAAGGCTTTATATAAGAATACAAGGAATACCGTCATACCCCGGATAAACCCCCATGGGGGGCACTAATAAAACATGTTTTTTTTAGGGGGTGGGCTTATAATATATTAAAATTGTAAGCGCCGGCGTTTATGTTATGTCAAAAATGAAATTTGTTTTTAAATATACCAAATCGAAGCATTCTCAAAGGCGAATTCACCTGAGTCGAGAACGTTCGAAATTGTGCATGCTTTGCGCGTGAAACGGCCAACAAGGCGTGGCATGACGCCTTCCACGCCTTGTTGGTCAGGCCAGGTTCATCGAACGTGAACCTGGCCCATGCCAGCGCACACGTACTTCGCATCACAGCGGCCCAATCATGGTTGCATGCTATCGTGGGCACGTCGTGGTTCAGCCACGACGTGCCCATCAACATCAAGATTCCCTGCCACTGAGGCAAAGAGCTTCCCAGCTCAGCTCCTCTGCGGGGAATCTTGACTGTGGCTGGACTTTCCCCGCAGAGGAAGCCGGGCCGCAAAACTGAAGGGGTCTCGGGCGAGGGCTTCATACGGCCCTCATTCTCAGCTTTTGATTCAGTTTTCTTTGTTCGCTTGGCCTGCCGTGGCCATGGCGGACCTTCCAGGCACGCATTTCTTGTTCCGCCGCCGACCTGCTGCTAGAGAAAGTACCTGCAGAGACACCCGTGACTACTCTCAATGGCAGTCGCGCCCTGCGCCCGTCCCTCCATCACAACCAGTAGTGCCTCCCGTTCCTCCCACTCCTCCTACGCCTCCTACCCCTCCCGCTCCCCCGGCGCCTCCTATTCCTCCCGTTCCTCCGGCCCCTCCTGTCCCGCCTGCTGTTTGTGTTCCGGGACAGGGGGTTCTGCAGCTTCTCCTCCCGCCTGGCTACTCGGCGTTCGACGCCTTCCTGTCCGAGCCTGAACGCAGCGGCGGCGAAGGATCTTCCTCCGCACCGGAGCAACGGTGGGGAGCGCCGGCTGCTTGCCCGTTGGACGAATCCGCAACCGGTGCAGACGACGACGTGGAGTTCTGGGCTGCTGACGGTCTCCCCGAGCACCTTCCAATTCCCTCCTTCCCCCCTCCGAATAAAAAAAGGCCCCACCCATCTCGCGATAATCGTGATGCCCGTCCTCCCTCCCCCAGGCACAAGCCAACAAAGCACAGGCGCAATTCCTACACCTCGCATGAGAAGCTGCAATGGATTCTGAAGCTCGAAAACGGAGAGATGAGTGTGCGGCGCATGTCTCGCGAATCCGGCATCTCCCGAAGGTGTCTCACGGAGTGGAAGAGCCGGAAGGCTGAGCTTGAGGGCGCGCACGGTGCACGCTGTCGCCTGCACGGCCGCGGAAGGAGCTCGTGGTATCGCGACATGGAAGCGGAGGTGTACCGGAGGTTTCTCGCCCACCGCAAGAAGTGCCTCGCCGTCTCGATCGCACGACAGCAGAAGTGGTCGCACGAGGTGATGAAAGAGTTACACCCAGGTGAAAAGTGGGCCGGCTCTCAGCGGTGGACTCAGCGCTTTCGCCGCCGCTGGAACCTGACGACCAGAGCGAAGACCCGGGTCGGCCAGAAGCTCTCGTCCAGTGAGTTGTTATTTGGTGGTATTGTTGTTTGTCTGTTCCCATCTATTCACGGCCCTCACTCTGTGTTTGTGCTTTCTGTTCCTCCCATCCCGTGTCCCAGACTGCGAGACTGATGTCAAGAACTTCTGGACGTATGTGCGTCACTCCCGCCGCCAGTACAAGATTGACCTGCCGTGGATCATAAACGCGGACCAGACGCCCCTCTGGCTTGAGATGCCATCCGAACGCACCGTTGAAGAGGTTGGCTCGCGCTCCGTGCCCGTCCGCAGCGGCGGCTACCAGAAAGAGCGGGTTACCGTGATGCTCGCCTGCACCGCCAGCGGGGAGAAGTTGAAGCCGTGGGTCTTCTTCAAAAGGAAGACCGTCCCCAAAGGAGATTTTCCTTCAGGTATGATGAAATCGTCGATTACGCGGTTGCATGTTCATGTCAGGTGATAAATGTGGAAACAAAGAACGAGAATGGAATGACTATGAACGAAGTGAGTACAAATAGGAAACCCTAATTGGGTTGTACCCCCTATGGGATACCCCACTATAGCCTACAGAAACAAGTAAGCTATAAGTTCTGACACACCCCCATAGGCAAAGTGGGGGAGAACAAGGGGTCACAAGACCAGTCAAGCAAAGCAAAGCAAAGCTCAGGGTGGATCACAAAGTCACCACGCATTCCGAGCACAAGTTCAAAGGCCACAAGGCCAGTTCACATGCAAGATCATATATAGAGATATACAAGAACAAGAGTATATATATGCGAAAGTACAAGCAAGGTCAAGAGGAGAGCAAGTGAGGCAAGACAGGCACAAGACCCAACTGCGTGCAGCAACGCTGATGATCACAAGGCGCAAGTGCCTTGGTGAAGACATCAGCAGTGTTGGCCTCAGAGGCCACGTACGCAAGTCGCAGCTGTCCACGCTGCTGTAGCTCACGAGCAAGAAAGTAACGAAGAGCAATGTGCTTCGTTCTGTGCTCCAGTCGCTGCTCTCGACACAAGGCCAGCATGGCCTTGTTGTCTACGTACAGGACTGGAGGAGAACGAGGCTGCTCTCCAAGGTCGGTCAGCAGGTAGGTGAGCCAGCGTAACTCCTGTGCAGCCATAGCCCCATCGTAGATCTCAGCCTCACAACTGGAGCCGAGAACAGAAGACGAGCGGGTAGCCCGCCACAAGACAGAGCCGGAACCAAGGCTGAAGGTGTAACCCTGTGACGACCGCTGCGTAGCCTGGTCGTCAGCCCAAGAAGCGTCTGCGTGCCCAGTGAGGACCACTGGACTGCGCCCTCCAAGCACTAGCCCCATGCCCGACGTACTGCACAAGTAGCGCAACACCCTCTTCGCTGCAGCCATGTGCTCTGGTCGGTGTCTCCCAGGAGCAACAAAGCGTGCGAGAATGCTAAGAGGGTATGCGAGGTCAGGTCGTGTGCAGGTCATCAGGTACATGAGGCAGCCAACAAGCTCTGCAAACGGGCCACTCGACTCTACGGACTCATCCGAAGGCAGAGCTGAGAGCGAGTGGCGAGTAGGCAGAGGAGTGGCCTGAGGCGAGGAGTACGTGAAGCCGAAGCGCTGAAGGACCTGCTGCACCATGTGTGACTGAGTCAGGGTAATGGTGCGGCGTGCTCTGTCCCGGGTGATCTGCAAGCCAAGGTAGCTGCGCAGTTCACCCAGGTCAGTGCACGTGTGTCTCTTCTGCAGCTCGGACTTCACGTAGGCGAGTCCAGCAGTGTCAGCTGTGGCAAAGACCAAGTCGTCGACGTACACGAGGATGTAGAACGGCGGCAGAGAGGTGTCGGTGCGCAGAAACAGCGACGGGTCGGCAGTGGAAGGAGCAAACCCAAGTGCCGCGAGCGTAGTCCTCAGTGTGTCGTGCCACTCACGTGGCGCCTGGCGGAGACCGTAGACTGGACGCCGGAGACTCCACTGGGTACCAGGAGGGAAAGACCCAGTGAAGCCAGGTGGGCGACGCAGCCAGATCTCCTCGTGCAGGCTGCCCTGCAAGAAAGCTGTGCTGAAGTCGAGAGAGTGCAGCTCGTAGTCACGGTGAGCAGCAACGTGTAGCAGAACCCGAAGAGTGGTCATCTTCGGGGTGGGGGAGAAGGTCTGAAAGTAGTCAACCCCCTGCCGCTGACTGAAGCCACGAGCCACGTAACGCGCCTTGAAGACAGGCGGAGAACCCGGCGGCCGCTTCACCCTGAAAATCCACATGCCACTGACGATGTTCGCCCCAGGAGGGGGAACAGCGTCAACGTAGGTGCCTGTGGACTTCCAGGAAGCCATCTCTGCATCCATAGCTGCCTGCCACTGAGAGGAGTAGGGACCCTCTATCGCCTCCGCGTAAGAGCGCGGAGTCGGGATGTCTGGTGCATCCGGGTCTCCCTCAGGGGCTAGCAGTACAGACGCGAGACGAGGTGAAGCGGCGGCCAGACACTGGAACTCCTCCTGCCTGTCCTCAAGGACGTCCGTGCCAAGGGCACACTCACCCCCGACGGACGGAGGACAGGCGGACTCAGACTCAGTGACAAGACGAGCAGCGTAGTCTAGACGACAGCGCGCAGCAAAGTCGACAAGCTCAGTGACAAGGGCAGACGCAGCAGACGACTCGAAGGAGGGGTCAGTGACAGCAGTAGCCAGGAGACGCGTGACAGTAGGACTGGCAGCACGAAGGGCGTCCGACTCCGGGTCGGCAAGAGCAGGAAGAGAGGAAGCAGGAGGAGAAGGCAAAGGGGCACGCAGAGGAGCAGTGGACGGACGCAGTGACATCCGGTGCGTGCCAGGGACAGGAGGAGGACGCTGACGCGACCCGCGACCACTAGCGCGCTCAGTACGAACAGGCGACA